GGCGGGCTACGAAGGCGGCCGTTCACCCGGTCGATTTCCCGACACCGCGGTACCTCGCAACATTTCCAAGCGAGCCCGAATCAGGATATATACCCGCCGGCCCGAGAAAATCCCACTTAACGAGACGTTCGTATTTGCATCGCCCGACACGTATCACCTAAAACCGTCGCGGGTCGTTCCCCGCCTTTTTTAACGTTCCGGGCCAATCGATGCGATTCCCTCGGTCACGCGACGGCCGCGAGCACGCGCACGCGCACGCGCGAGGCGTCCCGGTGGAAACGGAAGCTGCGCGTCCGCGGCGCCGGTCGCCTTCCGGGTTCTTCCGGAGCCTCGTCGGCCCGCGAAGCGCCCACAAGGACTCGTAGCCGATGAGACGATCAAGCCGAGTGGAAGAAAAAAAAAAAAAGAAGAAGAAAAGTGAAGAGGAAAAAAATGTGACGAAGCGTCGCGCGCGTGCACCCGGCAGGGCGGGATCGATCGGTAATCGTTTCAGGGGAAGTCTCGACAAACCGCTCGCTTCCGGTTACCCTCGATTTCCTCCCTCTCCGTCTCTCTCCGGTCACTCGTCCGCGCTTCGCCCTCCACCCTTTCGTTCGGCCACACGCTCGCACACATTCTCTCCTTGTCTCACCCCCTCTCTCCCCCTGTCCCGTCTACCTCTCATCTCGTGTGCTTCTCTATCCTCCGTGCACGCACGCGAGAGTCTACCTAACCTCGCTTGCGGTCTCACGTCCATCACGGACGATCGAGATTGACGACGCTCGAGAATTATCGAATCTTTCTCTCTCTCTCTTGCTCTCACTCTCCCACTCTCTCTACCTATCTGCCTACCTCCTAGTACCATGTGATTTCGGTTAAATCGAATCGAAGCTGACTCGCACGACGTTGGAGAACGGCTCCCTCTCTCTTTCTCTCCCACTCTTTCGCTCTCTCTCTTTCTCGCTCTCTCTCTCGCTCTCTCTCTCTCTCTCTCTCTCTCCCCTTTTCCATATTCCCTTCAGTTTTCTTTTAATCGGATATCCGGTTGGCTGGCCTCCCTAGTACTTCGCTTCCCCGCGCAATGATACCGTCAATTCATTGGTGATCCAATTCTCAACTCACCTGGGCAAGAGAATAAGCACAACACGTGTGTCGCGGCTATCGAGCGAATATCTTCGGTCTTCGATCACTCTCGTGTTTCACTCTCGTAACGTGACGCGCGTCAGGGCGATTCAAAACGAAAGAACGAAGGTGAGGACACGGGGCGCGCGCGCGCACACGTCGTCCTTTCCTTTTGTCATCTCTTTGTTCCTCCTTCCCCTCTCTTTCTCTCTCGCTCTCGCTCACTCTCTCTCTCTCTCTCTTTCTCTCTTTCTTTCTCTCTCTCTCTCTCTTTCTCTCTCTCGCTCGCTCGTTCTCTTGCTCTCTCGCTCTCTCCCTCTTTCTGAGTCCGATCGCGCCGAGTCCTCCTCGTTAATTACGTCCGGTCGAACTGGAACGGTACTCGACCGGCAATTAAACGGCAACACGCCGCTAGCTGGCTCCACCCCTCTCTCCTTTCCGCCGGTCGTCGGCGCCGGAAGACGGGAATGCCTGCGAAAAGCCGACTCGAGCGACTCGAGCGACGTCCGGGGCGGAAGCGACCGGTCCGGTCGACTCGGCTGGATCCCAGGGGACGCGACCGCGGAAATAGGACTCCGTTTAATGGGCCAGATAGGACTTGGCTACGACGAATCTACCCCCTCGAATCCTTCGTTCGATCGCGTTAAGCGCCCGAAACGGCCTGCCCTCGCGAGCGGGCTTCCCGGGGATTGAGACCACGGAGGGGGGAATGGCGGTCAGCCGCCGTCCGTCGTCTCGAGGTGCTTCGCGACTCGAAATCCCGATCGCGACGCGACAAAGGAATCCACCGGAAGTCTAAAAGCGTAAAAAACCTCGCGCCCCCGTCGTCAAGACGCGATACGGGACTGGCCGTTGGGGGAACCTGGAAACGCCCTTGGACGAACCTCCGGCGTTGCTCTCCCCTGGCTCGCGCGACGCCGCCGCGAGGAGAAGGGAACGTCTCGAACTCGAAACGGTGGCGGAGCGCCGCCGCACCTACCCGGAAGAGCGAGAGAGACAGCGAGCGAGCCAGCGAGGACGATCCCGTTAGCGAGATCGAGAGAGAAAGCGGCGCGAGCGGAAACCCTCCTTACGTGAGGCGGGCCGAGGAACGCCGGACCGCGTCGGGTGTCACACGTCGAGCGTCGATCGCAAAAAGAACGATCCGACCTGCGCGTAACCCCTCGCATAGCCGTCGAGAGCATCGGGACGAACGAATACCTCGCCGCGTCGCGAGGAACGCGCTCGGTGTGACCCCCCCGAGGATCGACACCGCGCGTCGAGCGACCCGGGATCCCCGTCTCGCGAAAAGCGACCGCGATCTCCGACTCCCGGATGCTTTCGACGGTCCCACCCCCTTCCCGTCATCTCTCCCGAGCACTCCCCCTCTCTCTCGTTCTCCCCTCTTCATCGGCCGTTCCGGCTCCCGTGAGCCCCTCCCCTCTTCACCCTCCGCCGATCGTCCCGCGACTCGCGCACCCCGAACGGCTGCGGTCCCGCCGCCTCCGCGGACTGCGCCCTCTATGCTCGCCCCGAGAGCGTCTGCCTCCGAGTGGTACCCGTTGGTAGATGATCTCTTTCATCGTTTCCTTCGGCAAAGAGACGTCGTCCACCTCGCATATCGCCGATCGAACGGGCAGGCTCGAAACGCCGGACGGGCGGCGCGTCGTCGCCGGTCCGGGGGGAAACAAAAGCTCGAGTCGGCGCCGCGACGCTCGTCCGGTTCGTTTCGCCTGCGTCCTCGAAAGAACCTAATTTAGGGGAGGGGAGGGGGGAGTCTCACACACCATGCAAAGAGATGATACCCAACGAAGACGCCCGAACGCTATGGGGCTTTTCGCGCACGCGAGCGTTACCGTCGCGACGGTGTTCCTTTCTGGAAGGACTCTTCTTCGTATCGCATGTATGTATATACTTTGTTTGTTTTTTTTTTGTTTGTTTTTTTTTCTTTCCTCCGTTGCGCGCCGCGCTTCGTACCCGAAACCAGGGTACGAGCGGACAAGGTTCTCGAGCCTCGGAGAGGCGCGAGAATCGCGCCATTTTTTGCTTTCAAGTGCGGCCCTTCGTAAAACCGGGACCGGTGCGCGGTGTTCGCGAGTTCGCCTCGTCGAGTCCTTCGAATCCCGGGGATCGGGCGTTTCGTTCTAAGGGCGCTCGCCGGGTTCTCGTTCCCTTTCTTTCCGGTGGCCTCTCCCTTCGGAACTCCTCGGAGGGAACGAAACGACCGATCGGCCACGACCGAGGTAGACTCGACGCGGCGAACGCGGAACCGTCAAACACCGGGTATCGTCAGGGTACCTACCGGAGTCCCATCGTGGAGATCCAGTACGTGGTACGACTACCTGCTGTTTTCGGCTGTTTCTATGGCACAGCAGAATGTCGTGGTCACTTCATCAATTGGAATGTCAGTTCTTAGTTAATCGTAACATCATTGGATCATTGTATAAGGATTATTGCAAAGTGATCGATTCTAGGGCGTTTAACCCTTCGCTCTCGAAGCCGTTCCGATCCGATGTACTTCGAGTGCATAGCCATCGTGTCCCGAAGGTACCACTCGAGTGCAAAGGAACAACTATCACGGGATGGTGACTTTTCGACTTCGGGGGCAAATCCACTGCCTCGTTCGGAACTTAACGAGGAATGGGATTTTCACCGCAGACCTCGGAGTTTCCGATACGTGCAGCAGTGGATAATCCACTCGTGGCGCATCTACCTTTTCCTTTTTTGGTAGTTGTTCCGAATGCATGTCGCGGAGCGAAGCGTATCCTCTGTAGAAGACTAGTAGGTGAAATGCGCCACGACGGTATGTCGTTAAATTCTATCAGGCCCGTCTAAAAGGTGCCCCGCTTTCCCGCCAAAGCCTCGTGCAAAGTTAAACGTTGATCGCCACTTTCGCTAAAACCGAGAAGCATAAATATAATCCGAGATTCGATTTCTGGTCGCGCTGCAAATGTACGAACAATGGAGGATGATACCCCTATTGCTGCTCTTCTACGTGAAGAGTCTTAATCAATTAAGGTGAAACGATAGGGTCGTCCGAGGTGTCTCGTCTATCTAACTTTTCTCCGAACGGGGTGCACCAAATCTTTTGACATTTTCCCATGTGAATATGGAGGCTCCAAGGAAGGTCCCGACCCCCATAAAACTTCACTTTTACATACATTTTAACAAGACGTTATAAACCGATTAAAAAAGATGAAATTTTCTGAGCGCCGGAACCTTCCTCGGGGCCGTCACATTCACGTGATTAATCTTCCCACGATTCGGTACACCCGGTTATAAAAAAGCTTTACAAAGAAGGCCCCACGGATGCCACTTTCGTATTACCTTATTGCCACGGTGATCACAAGTCCGTGAATTAACATCCGTGCCCAGAGTCCTCTCGAGAACGCAGGAAGTTTAACGTTGCACGTGACATTTGACGGGCTCCGAGTCGTCCAGCGACTCGTCCAGGTTAACTCGAGTCAAAATCATCGAATCCGGAGCAGCGTCTCGTCGACCACGATTCGGCCGTAGGCAAAATCTACGGCTTCCCGAAAACCGATCGGTCGTCACCTGGGAATCTCCCTGCTCGATCGTTTCTCGTTAGTCGTTCTCGAGTGCGCGCCGCTCCGGGACACCTTACCTTCGGGGGAGCCTTCGCTCCCTGCCTACCGAGAGTCCGCGCGAGAGTCTCGTCTGGGGCGGAAATCGATTATCGCGATACCGCGAGTCACGAGACCGCGCGTCGTTCCTCGACTCGCGGTGACTCCCCCCTCGTTCTCGGCGATTTCCTTCGACGGATTCCCCCTCTTTCCCGCCGTCCGACGATCTCGACCTCGGCAAGGCTGGGCGGATCGATGGTCCCTCGATCGCAGCCCAAGAGAGGTCGCGCGTCCCCTCGGTGGCGGAGCTGGGGCGGCGCTGGGGCGGACACTCACCTTGGGCCGAGGTGCTGGGGGTCGGCTCGGGCTCGCGCTTCACCCTCGCGTTGCCGCTCTCCGGCGCGTCGGTCCCGTTCTCCGTGGGCTCGTCCTTCCTCGCGGCCCCCGAGCCGGCCGAGGGGGCCGAGCCGCCGCCGTTGCCGTTGAGGCCGGTGGCGGCGCCAGCGGCGGAGGCCGAGGTGGCGCCGCCGCCGTTCCCGGTCGCGCCGCCGCTGCTGGGGGTGCCCTCGCTCTGGAAGTCGAGGCCCATCTTCATCTCCATCATCTCGGGGGAGCCCTGGACCAGGTCGGAGCCGGACTGGTGGTCCTGGCCCGGGGCGCCCTCGCCCATCGGCGTGTCCGAGGAGCCGCTCAGCTTGCGCGGCCGGCCCCGCTTCCGCTTGGGCGCGGTCAGCGCCGAGCCCAACAGCGGGTGGCTCGACATGTGGTGGAACCTCTTCTGCGTGACGTGGTGATGCGGCCCGATTTGGTTTATCCTGTGCAGGTTCGGCGGGGGTGGCGGCACCGCGTTCTGCCCCCCGAGCAGGGAGGACGTGATGCTCGGCAGGTCGCACTTGTCCTCGTTCACCTCGGTCAGCCCCTTTATTCTGAGCGATTCGGCCACCCGCAGGAACGCCGTCAACCTGTCCTGGTCGACGCTCACCTCCCCGCGGTACATAAAGTCCAAAAGACTGCGCATGTCGACGTACGGGACGTCCTTCAGGATGACTATCGGGTGCCTGTCCGGATGGCCGACGAAGAGCGCCTGCGGAATGGAATGGAGTCAGTCGTGCCCAGCTACCGCTCGACGTCCCGCCCGCTGGTGGAGTCGCCGCGGTTCCGATTACCGCGAGCGCGAGCGGACGTCACGCGTCTCGAGTCGACGGATTCCGCTGGCGGTGCAGCCGCCGCTCGCGCTTGCGTTCCGAGTCCTCGGCGAGGACTCGCGATCGCGATCCCAAGGATAGAATCGAAACCCGTGGGGCCTCCCGGTCGCCTCTGCCCTTCGCTCGACCCACCTCGCGTCCCCTTCCACGTGGACCGCGAACACCCCTCCCCGGAACCGAGTTACGTCCACGAGTCTCAAATTCTCAAATTTCCTATCTACCCCCGGTCTTATCATTCTCCGACGACGATCTTTACGAAACTTCACGGAAGCCTCTCTACCACGTGATTCTGACGCTTGCCACGTGGTACATCCCGGCACGTTCGATCCCCCTCATTTTGGTAAACCTGGCCAAACTCCGTAGGCTCTCACCTGAAAGTAGGGACTGCACGCCGATAGCACCATCTTGTGTGCCCTGAGTAGCTGTCCCTCGACAGCCAAGGTTACATCGACAAAAGACTCGTCGTGTAGCAACTGATCGAACACGGAAAGTAAATTGCTCTGATGGTTGTTCCAGCGCAGGCAAAACCTCTGCGACGCCATCGCTTCGCTTCTCAGATCCGCCAGGTTCCCGTTGATGTCCGCTAACATCAGACCTGATGGTCGTGGCCGCGGGTGCTGCTGCGTCGCTTACGTTCGCGCTCCTCGACGGCGTACACCCTTGCTCGTGATCCCGCTCTCGTTCCGTCCTTCATCAGCCGGTATCACGTGCCCCTCCTTTCTTGTAACCTGAAGCAAACGGATGACCATGCGATTAGACCAGTTTTCCCTTACGTATTACACCGTGCGACAGACCCCTTCCCTCCGCGACCGTTTCGTCACGATTCCGCAGCATCGCTGGATTCGTTTAAACGAGCACTTCGAATTTTTCGTCAACACCCAAGGTGCTATTTTCACGGACACGTGGAATAGACACGTCTCGGAGGTTCCCCAATTTTTCTCGATATAAACCCCGAATACTGACTGAACCGTGTGAAAGTTACGTCTTTTAACACTAGGTTTACGGGCGTTTTTTATATTCCTGTTTCTACGAGCATCCGTCAAATTGACGGGCAAACGAAAACACGGATTTTCTTTAAAAAATCGATTTATTCTAATGAAGTCTGTATTAAACGACACTAAGCTTTACGTTTAAATAAATTATTAATAAGTAAAAAGTCCTTTTTTAAATATTATCACGGAAATTATTGGAATGCTCGTCCTCTCATCCTCGGAGTCAGAACTAGAAAGAATGCGCATCCTTTTCTTGCTACGACACCCCTTCAAGAAGTTTTCCTCTAAACTATCCGAAGATCCTTCTATTTCTCCACTTTCAATGCAAACTTTCACTCTCATCTTCGCCTTACACTCACTGCAACGAAGCAAATATATATGGATTGTTTATGAAATTAGCTAGTCCGTCAATTTGACGGGTTTCGTGGAGATAGGTATACTACATACAGATTTTAATAATCAGAAGGCTTAGGAAAAAATAATCGCGTGTACAAATTCTTTGGATGAAATGATTAATTTACGATACAAAAATGGTTAAAATTAATGCTACGGTTTTTTCGGTATTTCTTTTTGAAGTTTGAATTCCGTCAAATTGACGGGTCTCGTAAACCTAGTGTTAAGGAAAGTTAAACGTTTCCGTAACTGAATAAGATCGATGAAAAGTACGACCGATTTTAAGTTATCGATATTATACGTATGTGGGTAGGTGAAGTAAATTCGTATCGTGGCACGCGTGTGTCTGGTAGATGTACGTGCTCTCTAATCAAGGTATACCTTTTGTGCCAAGAGACTTTTTCCCGTAGGATGTTTAAAATTGAACGTTCCACGGTGAACGACGGACGCGTTACGTCATTGGTGCCCCCTTGTCACCGTGTTTACTACTGTCATTGTGAAAATCCTGTGCCTATCCTTCGCCAAGATGCAATTTCTGTTCCACGGCTCCGTCGACGGTTTTACGGCGGCATCGCGAATGGGGACAAGGACGAAAACGGATGCGCGAAAAAGAGCGAAGCCAGCGAGTGTAGAAACGGAACCTGCGTTACGTCCTCAAAACAATGCAAGCCTATCGACAAAAGCTAAGTCATATCGATGAGTAGCCGTTCCCACGGCAGCTAAACTTCCGACGAGCCTCCTTTTGAATTATAGAGGTTCCCAAGATATCCAACAATACCAATGTGAATTCTTAAAATAATCGAATATTATCCCGCGTTGAAATTAAACACATTAGGAATCGACTGGATAAAACTGATTCCTTTACAATCGATCTCCATTTAGCACATCGAACGTGCGACTAATTTCCTTTTAATTTCCACTTAAGCGGCTTTATTTTATGCGATGGCTCTCCAATCTCGCCTGTACGGAATTTTAAGGTGAAGTGAAACACGTCGAGGAACTTGATCGACGTCGATAAAGAAGATTTTTCCAAATGCCTACGTTGCCGACGTTCGTTTTTATATTGACAGCTGTATAGAATTACATTGAATATTGTACCAAATGGCATACTCCACCTGTCGTTTTCGTACAATAAATATCAAGAAATCGAAGTAAAACTCCAGAAATCCTCTGAATTCAAGCTTTCTGGGGCCCCAATTGGCTGCAGAGGGACACCCTGCGCCATCTGTGACTTCCAGGTCAATTAAATGTTCACTCCGAGACCCCGTATTACCATCGTTTTAGCAAAGAAGCGCATACAACACTTTTTTTGCCCTTATCCTGTTCAAATGTGAGTTTATCAATTACCAGAGTGTTCTAAATTGTCGTAAAATTGTCCTGACCCTTTCGATTCTCATATCAGAGCCTTCGATAATTGTATATTGATCAAAAGATGAGAGCTCGACGCCATTTTGGTTCTGGTCTGGGCTGAGTTAAAAAATTAAAAAAAAAATCAAAATTTTGAATGTGTCAGGACAATTCTTAGATGATCAAGAGTGACGTGTCAAAGTTTCGGACAGTTTGGTCTAATACCCTCAAAAAAAAAGTGTTGTATTCGAATTGACTGATTTGAAGGGTGTTTCACTTCACCTTAAACGTGCCACCTGGAATCTAAAATATTTCATTAATCCCGATATCTAACGACCGCGGAATTTGACCACCGAAACACAACGCGCTCGAAAGCAATCGATTGTCATTACACGTGTCGCTTTCTATGACCAATCGTTGGCCGGAGTTTCTAACTTTCTCTAATTACTGTCGTTAATTCCGGCAAACATTTGCATATCGAATCCAGATTCAGCCGATGTTCACCCCTAGGGCGGTGATTGCCCCGTTCGCTGATAATCTTTCTTATCGTATATTTCGTCACGTTCATTTCTTACCCACGTAAGAAAAGCACTCTCTAGGGGAATTATCTACTTTTGGAAATACCCCGAAAAAAGATTTTATATCCCCTTTTCGAGCCAAAGACAAGAAACATGAATAAATATACGATTTATAAAGAAATCCCTTGGGTACAAAGAAGTGGCAGGATAACGAGGTACGATATCGAGTTCTAATCGTTAAGGTGAAGTGAAACCCCCTTCAAATCAGTCGATTCGAATACAACACTTTCTTTTAAGGGTATTAGACTAAACTGTCCAAAACTGATACATCATTCCTGATCATCTAAGAATTGTCCTGAGACATTAAAAATTTGGATTTTTTTTTCATTTTTTAACTCAGCCCAGACCAGAACCAAAATGGCGTCGAGCTCTCATATTTCGATCAGTATACAATTATCGAAGGCTCTGATATGAGAATCGAAAGGTTCAGGACAATTTTACGACAATTTAGAACACTTTGATAATCGATAAACTCACATTTGAACGGGATAAGGGCAAAAAAAGTGTTGTATACGCTTCTATGCTAAAACGATGGGAATACGAGGTCTCGGAGTGAAAATTTAATTGACCTGGAACTCACAGATGGCGCAGGGGGTCCCTCTGCAGTCAATTAGTGCCCCAAAAAGCATGAATCCAGAGGATTTCTGGAGTTTTACTTCGATTTCTTGATATTTATTGTACGAAAACGACAGGTGGAGTATGTCATTTGGTACAATATCGAATATAATTCGACACGGCTGTCAATATAAAAACGAACGTCGGCAACGTAGGCATTTAGAATAATCTTCTTTATCGACGTCGATCAAGTTCCTCGACGTGTTTCACTTCACCTTAAATGAAAGACAGAAAATATGGATATACGGGTATGAAACATCGAAGTCACGTGGCATTATGGAAGTTGAACGATTTCGCACGTATTCCGGCCAGCAAATGCATACCCGGGCGGGAAATTGAATTTATCTCGGGAAGAAAGAAACGTTGCCGCCCGCCCGATCGAGGCGGTCCTGGGGCGAGGAATAACAGGGAACGCGACCCCGCGAGGCTTCGGTCTTCCAAATGATTTGGGACGTCGTTTTCGGAAAGTGGCACGAAGGCACCTCTTTACCGCTTCCTCGCCTCGGGGCGTCTCGCCGCGTACTCCGGGCACCTTCGAGGAGCCCTTCGCAACGACTACGAGGGCACTTTCGCGCCAGCGAGTCACGAGGGCGCGGTATTAGCTTACGAAGAGGCGAGCAGATCGCGCCCAAGTTTGAAGATATCTCGGACAACCCGTAACGTTTCCCCCCACCGAGGAAGAAAAAGAAATCGTCCCGCTCTCGAACGACCCTTGGGCGGAAGATCTCTCACCTAATCTCGAGCCAGATTTCCGAAGATCTCCACCCCCCGGGACTTTCCGGTCCCTTGCCCCTCCGAGGCCCGAGCTCTCGACTCCGGCCCAGAGAAAACCCGGAGGAAAACTCCTCTCCGGGAGAGCGGCGGCAGCGGGGCAAAAGAATTCCTCGCTCGCCCGGGCAGGCTCGAGCGTCGAGGCCCGCGGCTACGTTGCCGGCGTTTCCGGCGTTGCCACATCGGGGGGGTCCTCTTGCCCAACGCTGACGCGCCGGGCGGACCCCGTTGCCGACTTCCAGCGGCGCGCGCATGCATATGTAGGAGAGAGGTCTCGTGACCTGCCGCGACCCGAGAAAGAGAGAGAGGAAGCGACACGGAGGGATACCCGAGGGGAGGCGTGGATTCGGGCCAGCGAGTCGACAGAAGTCGCGGGGCGACCCGCGTCAGAGGCGTCCTCGTCCCGTGACCGTTCTCCGCGGGCGCTCCTCGCGACCGACCGAGGAAACCTGCACCCGACTCGGCGGTTTCGCGGCGTTCCGGGAGGGCGCGCGAAAAGGGCACTCTCGACCGGACGGCGTCTCAGCCTCGAGTCGAGTCGAGTCGGGCCGAGCCGGGAGTACCGTTAAGCCGAAGAAGCCGCGTCGGGAGTACCACCGAGACGCCTGGGTGGCCGATCGATGTCGCGCCGACTAACGGTTCCTCCCGATACCGCGGCCAACTGGAACGCCACCGAATCGTACAGGTGGTGGCCGCGACTCGGCATCCGACTCCGCGTCCGGCCTTCCCCGCGTTACCACTTCGACGCTTCTCCGAGCGATGACGCGCTTTCCCCCGCCCCCGCCCCGCCGCGGGAACGCGATCGCGCATAAAAGGAACCCCTGGCCCACTCTACCAAAAATGACACGTGCTCGTAAAACCACGCGTCACCGATTACTCCTACCCGCCGATAAAAAGCGACAAGAAATTCAACCGAACGCGTTATTAAGGCAGATTCAAACGTATCCGTCCAGATACGGAAATGCCCGAATGCTCCAATATAAATCAAAAACGTCATCTCCATCGGTGCGAGAATACGCCAAGGATGCAGGA